GGGGGGGCACAGGTGCACGCATGCACACAAACACATGGAGGTCCAGCAACCTTCCTCTGAGGGCCCCCCTCAGAAAAAAGGCACACTCAGCAGCAGCTACCCCCACCACTGCAGGGGAGCAAACTTTGCGAGGCGAGCGGTGCTGAGGTGGCTGCTGGCCAGGCTGGTGCTTGGGGTGCTGAGAGAGAAAGAGAGCCAGAGAGCCACTTCCCTGGAAGAGATGGTGGCGGTGGCAGTTGCTGTTGGCGGCTTGGAGGATGGGCCGGGAGTGAGCTCTGCTTGGCGGCGCAGGTTGCAGTTCCGGATGGAGGGTGCAAGAGGAGCCAGCGAGCAAGGCGAGGCTTTTTTTTTTACTCTTGACAGCAGAGGGCGTGTGGGCGCTTCGGGGGGGCAAGCAATGCAGGGGCCACAAACACTCGTACGGCGGGCCACAAATGGCCCCAAGGCTGCATGTTTGAGACCCCTGGTCTAAAAGAATAAAGTATCAGAACATGGTATGTCTTCTTAGGGAAGGTATCTGTCTTTCTTAATGTTGTTGCAGTTGGTGGTGAATTTTTGGCGTGGGCGTAATTGAGCCACCATGCGGGGGGGCAAGCAATGCAGGGGCCACAAACACTCGTACGGCGGGCCACAAATGGCCCCAAGGCTGCATGTTTGAGACCCCTGGTCTAAAAGAATAAAGTATCAGAACATGGTATGTCTTCTTAGGGAAGGTATCTGTCTTTCTTAATGTTGTTGCAGTTGGTGGTGAATTTTTGGCGTGGGCGTAATTGAGCCACCATGGCACTCAGGACAAGAGCTTGGGTGGTAAACAGATCAGCCATAGAGGCACAAAAGAAAGAAAACTTTGATACCCTGTTCCCAAGCCATGGCAGAATTGAAAGCAAACACCTTTAAAACCCAGAAGAAAATAACAACAGTGAAGTAAAATGGTCCAGTCATCTAATACAGTGGTTCTTAACCTTGTGTTACTCAGGAGTTTTGGACTGCAACTCCCAGAAGCCTTCACCACCAGCTGTCCTGACTAGGGTTTCTGGGAGTTGCAGTTCAAAAGCATCTGAGTAACAAAGGTTAAGAACCACTGATCTAATACTAGTCAATGAGCTACTGCAAAATATAGTCAAATGAGGTTTCTGGGCAACTTGTTAAGGGCAGTCCCACATATACATTATCACATTCCAGTTGTCTAAATGGACGGTAACTAGAGCTTGAATGAATATAATGGGAGTTTGTAACTGGGATATTTATGTAAGCGACATTAGATTTAAGCCACAACCTTTCTTGAATAAATGGCATGTGTTATGTATCAAGCTTGATGTTCCTAGGGCATGCGGTTTCCTTCTAATAAGTGTTGTTTCAATTTTGCTTTCAGATAGCAGCTAAAATTGGAGGGGACTCGGCCACAACAGTGAACAACACTACTCCTGACTTTGGATTTGGTGGTCAGAAGAGGCAACTGGAAGATGGAGGTATGGTGTGATTTGCTCTGGTGTGCATACACTTGTGTGATCTCTCTCTCTCTCTCTCTCTCTCTCTCTCTCTCTCTCTCTCTCTCTCTCTCTCTCTCTCTCTCTCTCTCTCTCTCTCTCTCTCTCTCTCTCTCTCTCTCTCTCTCTCTCTCTCTCTCTCTCTCTCTCTCTCTCTCTCTCTCTCTCTCTCTCTCTCTCTCTCTCTCTCTCTCTCTCTCTCTCTCTCTCTCTCTCTCTCTCTCTCTCTCTCTCACACACACACACACACACACACACAAACACACACACAAACACACACACACCCCTACACACCTTCCATATACCAGCTTGAAAAGTTAATGTAGCAAGTTTTGCATGGGGCCTGTCCCTCAAGCATGGCTGCAGAGGTTTCATTTGGGGTTAGCTTAAGAATCCAGAACGGACCACATTGAAATAAACAGAATCTGCACAAATCTGCTCTTTCCACCAATTGCCTATAAACTGCTGTGGGTGCATCAACAGCTGTAGTTATCATATCATATGACAAAATGAATCTTAATCATACCTGTAGTCTTGGATGTTAGGTGGAAGTCTTGAAGGAGAAAGCTGGCTATCTTTTAATTGCTGAAAGGCATTTAGATGCATTTTTTTTTTCATTTTTTAACAGACCAGCCAGAGAGCAAAAAAATGGCCCCTCAGCCTGAACGTAAGTATAATTTCATTTAAAGAGCTTGAGAGGTATGTGTACTAATGATCTGCAGATTGATTTGCATTTTAATAGTGAAGTGGGAAGGGATATAAAGTTAATTTTTGAGAAGGGATTTAGGGAGGCCAGGACTGTGTTTTAATTTAAAAACAAACAAACAGATTCGTGGCATAGGCTTATACCTTGCATTTTACAATATGAATTCATAACCAAACCCTTGCTTTGCTTTCCAGCCATGCCACCACCCCCTCAGCTTGGACCGATCCATCCTCCTCCCAGGTAAATAAGCCATGCACCCATTTTCTCCCACCCACCCCCACAGGATTTTGCTGGTATGGTTATATCTGAAGTTCTCACCTGTCGTCTGTCAGGGGAGGACAGTTTTTCAGTGCCTCCCCCCCCCCTCAATCCCAAGAGAAAAGGCTGCTTTGTTAGGTTTGGGTCGGCATCCAGACTTGTGAGAGGCATGCCTCAGGAAATGTCTCTCACAAATCTCACACTTTATATGACTTGTTAGCTAGTTAAGGGCTGTGCTGCTTGGCCATTACTGAGGTACTTTTAAGGTTTTGTGTAGCTTCTGGTTTCATAGCTCTGGTTTCCAAAACCTGTGCCTGAAGACTCGTGTGTGCAAACTCTGGTATGGTGGCTTTTGGGCCACTTGATGGGGCCACTGGTTTTGCCAGGCTGCAGTGGTGTATGCTGCACTGTTGCATGGTGATTTCCTTAGAGTGGTGTTTTAATTGCTCAGCCACTTTCCTCTCTGCCTTTCCAGGACAAGGAAAGCCCCCCTTCTTTTTTTTCTTGATGGATGCTGGTGAACACCAGGTCCATTTCTGTAACCCTCCCACTCCTTACTTTAAGCTGCTGACCATTTTCCTTGCAGGTCTACAGTGACTGAAGAGTACAGAGTACCTGATGGCATGGTGGGACTCAGTGAGTATTAGACAGGGAGGGGAGAAACCTGCTGCTGTTGTAGCTGGAAGGTTGTCACTGTACCTTTACTAACCCATGCTTTCCTGACTCCTCTTCACCTGTTGCCTGAGCTTCCCACAGGGAAGGCTCAGGCAAGTTGGCTGGTGACTCCTTTGGTGTGGTTTTGAAGAGATTACAAGCATTTGAGTTTCCGCTGTGGGCTCAAAGCTGTTTATGGAATGTAGCTCCAGAGGTACAGGGTGGGAGTTCTGCTCCATAAAACTGCTCAGGCGAGGTTCCCATTCATTAAATGGTAGGGTCTGGTTTCTAAGGTCAACTTGGAGGCAAGTGCCATGGGAACACTTCCCAACATGTCGCAGAACTTGGGGGATTTGAACAGCAGCACAGAACTACTCTGGACACTTCAGAGTCTCAAGCTAGGAGTGCTGCAGAAGTGTTGAGCTCTTGTTCTGGATTGTTTGTGGTCTCAGCTTTTAGATTAATCAGTTTTGTGTGAATGATCCTGTGTAGGCCTTTGCCAGAAGGAATGGTGGCTGCCAAACATTGCCTGAAGCCGAGTTTTAACTACGCAGGAGAGAATCAGGTCCAAGGAAGGCAGTTTGTTTACAAGCCCTGGTTTTAAATTGGTTTGGTGTTCAAGCTCTGAAAGCTTAGAAGAGACATTGGCTGAAACTAGGGTGCTGTGGTACCTCTCTGACATCGCTGGTTCTTGAACACTATCTTGCCTCAGTGGCCTCCGAGATCCTGAGTATTTTGTTTCCTCTTACTTGAATTGCACATTGAGGAGGAACAGTTCTGTCCCTCCCTCCTTCCTGTTGCATTATATGAATTGCCACTGAATGAATTCTGGATTATTGTTCCACTCAGTTACTGTTCCTACATCATATATACAGAACTTTCACATGTTGAATGTACTGTTAATCTAACTTACAGAATGTCTTATGGCTGCTGTGCAGGGAGCAATTTCTCCATGCTTTGGGGCCTGTCTATTTCTGCCGATTATCCTCCCCCCTCCATAAGTCAGAAGACTCCTACTTGTCTCTTGTGAAGAAGAAGGAGAGAAACCTGCCTTTAAGTCTGCCTGTTAAAGGAGGACATTCCTGTTTTTATCTTGAGTTTCTTAGTGCCCCTCTCCTTACTTTGCAGTCATAGGAAGAGGTGGAGAGCAGATCAACAAAATACAGCAGGACTCTGGATGCAAAGTACAGATCTCACCAGGTATGTGTGTATGGTGGAGAGCAGAGTCTAAGGTGGATTTAGCTGGAACTTCCTGGATATGGAGCCACAGCTGCCCCTTGTTCCTTCCCAGCCTTTATAATAGTGGGTGAGCATACTTAAATTGGTATAGTTGTAATAAAGCAGTCTAGTTTATGGCAAGGAGGGTCAGAAATTAGAGTGGTCAAAGTGACCAGATAGGCGGCGTATAAATAAAATTAAATAAATAAATAAAAATATCACTAGTAAATCTTTGGAGGATTTGAGGAAGATTGGCAGTAATTTCTGACTCCTAGTGGTGGGTTGGAGTGAAAGAAAAAGACTCAGCCATGGGATTGGGGATCCAATGGAACATTCGATAATGTTCAGCTTTCAAGTCCATGAGTGTTTGCTAGCGTAGCCAGTGTCCAAGCATGACAGGATTGGTAGTTCATCAACAATTGGAAAGGCACAGGTTCCCCATCCCTGCAGTAAATTGCTAATGTGAAGGGACCTTGGGTGGTGGAGATGGTACCTGGCCCATTTTCACCTAGGAGGCTTTTATGTATTGTCTGTAGCACTCATCTAATTTCTGAGCAGAAAATCCTTTAAATTAAAGTGTATTTCTTCTGTGTTTGGTGCTAGTTGACTGATTTTAGGCACTTAGCAAAACGGATCCCACAAGCTTGGTCTGTCCTCAGGGATGAACACACATGTTCGCGTATTGAAGGTGTCTTACAGGTGATAGATGGCACATTTTCAACATGCTAAGTCACTCTTGCTCAGTCATTATAAAAGAAAATATTCTGGGACGTGAGTGTGCCAACAGTGTTTGGGTGAACAAGGGAATCCCCCTCAGCTTGGGGCAAGCTTATTTTCTCTTGTAGGGATTTACTGTTTCACCACCTATTAGATTAGGAGGAGTCTTCTGTTCGTGTGCTGCTTGCAGTTCATCAACAAGCTCTCGCTCTCAAAAAATGCAGGCAATTCTTTATAGTGTATTTTTATTTGAAGGACCTGCCTTTCAACCAGTTCCAACTTCTTCAGCCCTTACATATGATGTGTGATTGGAGGGAGAGGTAAAAATCTCTGGGGAAACGTGTTTGTGTGGAGTGAAGTTTTAATAGTCTTGTTTCCTAATGGCCTTTCTTTGCTTTTGCAGACAGTGGAGGATTGCCAGAGCGAAGTGTATCTCTGACTGGATCACCAGACTCTGTCCAGTGAGTAGACTTTTGTCCTTTCTCATGTTGCTGTTCCTAAAGGACACGAGACAGTGGATGATAGAAGCCACCATGTTTCAATAGAACATGTTTGCCAGACAGGATAATCCAGGGTTGTAGCAAAAGAAGCAAGGCATTTGTAGTTCACTAGTAAATGCTGAGATCCCATATTAGAAACATTGGCAGTAAGGTGAGCTGAAGAATACAAACCTGAATCCATCAATGAGAATTTGGCCAGGGAAGCTTGCATCAGGAGACCAGTCATGGCAGGAGACCAGTTGGTCCCTCTCATTCGTCAGATTGCCCCCTCCTCCAGGCTTGTTCTCTTATTTGCTCTCTTGCTGTTTGTGCTTCTACATCTATGCAGAAAAGCAAAAATGATGCTTGATGATATCGTATCTCGAGGGCGTGGTGGACCACCGGGTCAGTTCCATGATAATGCCAACGGGCAGAATGGTACAGTGCAGGAAATCATGATCCCAGCTGGGAAAGCTGGTCTGGTGATCGGCAAGGGAGGAGAGACCATTAAACAGTTGCAGGTGAGATTGCTAAACTGGAACCTGTCTTGGGCTGCAGAGTGAGGTAGAAATTTGCACCAGTGTGCACCACACATTATGTATCATTTCCAGCTGGATTTCTTACCTTGAGATTGATGCTTGTTTGCTTAGTGTTTCTAGTCATTTGGCCTGCAGAGGGACAACGCCGATCCTCTCCTATCTGTGGTTTCTGCAACTGAGACCTTTTGAAATTCAGATTCTTTTGGACTGAGAGGTTTCCAGGAACACTGAACAGTCAAGCAACTGGACTTTTCTCTTTCCTTTTGTGTAGGAGCGAGCTGGAGTGAAAATGATTTTAATTCAGGATGGTTCACAAAACACGAATGTAGATAAGCCTCTTCGGATAGTTGGAGACCCTTACAAAGTACAGGTAATGTGTGCTGCCCGGTTGATTCTCTTCTTCAGTCTCTCTGAGGCACTGGGGTATCTGCTTAGGTTGCCAAGTACCAGAGATATTCAGGTCCTCTCCGTTTTTAGAGATGTATGGAACTGAATCAGAAATGTCACAGAGGAAGTATGAGAGGGTGGCTAAATTGGCAAGGCTTACTTTGTTTTAGTTTGTTCATATATATTGCACTGTTTCGACGTAACTTTTTGTGGTTTTAGTTGTATTTTTTTAAAAATGTAAAACTAGTTGAATAAATATATCCTCTTATTAAGAGCAGGAATGAGTAAGCTTAACTTCTGGTCCTTGTGGTGTCAGGAACAAACTTATTATTTCATAATTTTTAAGGATGTGCCAGTTGGATTTTTCTCCACATTCCAACCCTCAGAATTCTGGTAATTCCACTTCACAGACCCACAACCTTCACACTGCCTCAGAGGCTGCATTCTAGACTTCACTTCCTGGCACAATGCTTCCTGGGTGTTGTAGTACTGCTGCCCTTTAGATTCTATCAACAGTGCCTCCTGAAGAACTATTAACACCCAGCAAGAATTGCAACAGGAAATGAGGCCTAGAATTTGGCCTCTAGGCGGGGTGGTGGTGGGGTGGTGGAGATAGGCCTTGCTCTAGGTGAGGGAAATACAGATGTCTGAAGATGTGGGCCTGAAGTTCAAAAAATCCAAATGGCACATCTCTATTAATTTTACTTTTACTTTTGGGGTGATTGTTACCATGCTTATTTCCATACAACTTTTTTTGTTTGATAATATCTCACAGTGAGCTACAGCTAATAAAAAATTGTTTCATATTTTGTTGTAGCAGCTGATTATATTAAAATACAATTGGTCAAGAAACTTAAAACCAGAGGTTCTAATGTGGGTCTCAGATGGGGCAGCATAGGTCAGTTCAGGAAGGCTCAAGTGGAGAGATGTGCCTACAAAAGGCACTCAAAGCATGTAGCAGTTGGTGCCTCCCAGATACTAGGGCAAAGACTTTCCAAAGGTTTTGGCGGAGGGTCGCACTGTGGAGAAAGCCAGCTTCTCTGTTTCTGCTGAATAGCTGTCTGCAGATTGTAGGGCAACATTTTAACATTACAAAAGCTTCTGTTAGCCCTCTGCTATAGATGAAGGTGACTTAGCAAGGCTACTGCATGCAGTTGCCTTTTGCTTCCATTTTGCTTTGTTCTAGAACCAAAAAATGTGTCCCTTGAAATGAAATTAACCAGCTGATTTAAAGCAATCTTTTAAAGCTGACACTTCTTGATGGTTACTGTTCCTCTGTTGGGGAAAAACTCACTGAGGCATGGGTGGAACTGGTAACCACTCTTAAAATATCTCATTTAATATGAAAGGCCTATTAGGGTTCCTGTAAGCTGGTTCCAGGGGAACTGCAGAAGCCTCTGTGCTGCAAGGTCAGAAAACCAAGCAGTCGTAAGATCGAATCGACGCAACGGAGTGAGCTCCCGTCACTTGTCCTAGCTCCTGCCAACCTAGCAGTCCGAAAGCATGTAAATGCAAGTAGATAAATAGGTACCACCACGGTGGAAACGTAACAGCGTTCCATGTCTAGTTGCGCTGGCCAGGTGACCATGGAAACTCTCTACGGACAAACGCTGGCTCTACGGCTTGGAGACGGGGGTGAGCACCGCTCCCTAGAGTCGGACACAACTGGACTAAATGTCAAGGAGAACTTTTACCTTTACCTAAGCTGGTTCCAGGGGAACTGCAGAAGCCTCTGTGCTGCAAGGTCAGAAAACCAAGCAGTCGTAAGATCGAATCGACGCAACGGAGTGAGCTCCCGTCACTTGTCCTAGCTCCTGCCAACCTAGCAGTTCAAAAGCATATAAATGTAAGTAGATAAATAGGTACCACCACGTTGAGAAGCTAACGGCATTCCATGTCTAGTTGCGCTGGCCATGTGACCACGAAAACTGTCTATGGAGAAACGCTGGCTCTACAGCTTGGAGACGGGGATGAGCACTGCTCCCTAGAGTCGGACACAACTGGACTAAATGTCAAGGGGAACCTTTACCTAAGCTGGTTCCAGCTTGACAGCATGTAACACAAGTATTTAAAAATAAGGACTCATTGTGACAACAAAAATTTTGAACAAGATCAGATGTTCTCTGTAAGGGTCATGTTTCAAAAATATTTTTCTGTTAATTTACAATATTTTGCTGGTTATCCAGATTTTTTAAAAAACATGTCAGATGCCCAGTCCTACTATGCAGTATCATAACAATTGTTTTGCTTTCCCAGTTAAAACTGGTTTGTCCTCCACTGGGCTCTCCTTTGCAATCTTCTCTTTGACTTTACCTCACTATATTTCTCATCTCTGTCAAAACCTGTGCCTTTCCTATTTTGCTTTTCTTTGACTTCTTTTTCCTCATTGTGTCCCATCTGGTAATTTTTGCTCCTTCAACTAATATCAAACTCGGCCATCTAAAAGTCTATTCCCTTGCTATACTGTAGTGGTGACTAGGAATTGTTTTCCTCCTCCTCCTCCATCTTGCTATTGAACGCAGGTCCCTGAAGGACTTAAGCTTTAAAAAAGTCCTCTTTGTTGGAAATTCTTGCATAATCTGAGTACTGAGGGAGATGTTCAAATAATTCAAGAATTCATGGTCATGTTTCTTTGCAGCAAGCCTGTGAAATGGTAATGGATATCTTACGAGAACGGGACCAGGGAGGCTTTGGTGACAGAAACGAATACGGTTCCAGAATTGGTGGAGGAATAGATGTAAGAGGCTACGCTGTGTTTGTTGGGTCAAAGGGACAGTAGTTTGGGGGAGGGGGAACTTCACTGCCCTCCCATGTTAACATGTCAATGTTGGAAAGCAAGGAGCTGCTAAAAGCCCCTTGTCATAAACTTCCTTAGTAAATTGTTTTTACCTATTCTTTGTTTAATTTGTCCTTTTCCATTTGGTTCAGGTCCCTGTGCCTAGGCATTCTGTGGGCGTGGTTATTGGACGCAGCGGTGAAATGATTAAAAAAATACAGAATGATGCTGGAGTTCGGATACAGTTCAAGCAAGGTCAGAAATGCAAGTCTCTCCTTTTCCCAAAATGCTCATGCAGCTTTTTCCCTTGTGCTGGCTCGCTCGCTTGTTCCTATTGGCCTGATCTGTTTGATTGCTAATGTGGAATTATTTTCTACGGAACTGTGTTCTCACAATCTGGTTTTAACATCTTTTCCTAGACATCTTGGTTAAAGGGAGAGTTTACACAACCAGAGACCCATGTAGGTTTGTTGCTGTATTTAGATCTGTGCCTTGGCACAATTTTATAATGGCAGTTTTCTGAGCGACAGGGTTACCTGTTTGGCTTTTTTCTTCTTTACTTCTTCGTATAAACGATATATCTTCTTTACCCATTGAACTGGAATGATTTATTGCTGCTGATGGAAAAAGCCACATCAGAGGTTTAATCAATTCCTGAACCTGTTGAGAGTGGGTGTTTATATGTTGTCCATAGTTTCTGTACCCAGACTCAAGAACAAGTGGCTTCTTTCTGAAACTCTAAACCGGGTGGGCAACATGGATCCCTCAGCACCCCCACCTCAAAGCAAAAAACCCTTACAAAAACAAACAAAACAAAACCCCAACTACATTTATTGGAAGGGAAAAAGCTACCCTGAGGGTTTTTTTAAAAAAATTGGCCACTAGCTTTCTGGAGTGGAAGGTGAGAAAAATGTGGTGGCGGAACAGAGCCAGAGGGAGATTCCTGGCAGTTGCCCACCCTTGCTCGAAATGAATATAGAAACATGCAGAATTCTTACTTTGGGTTCTTGTTGTAGATGATGGAACGGGTCCTGAGAAGATCGCCCATATCATGGGTCCTCCTGACAGATGTGAACACGCTGCCCGGATTATCAATGACCTTCTCCAGAGTCTCCGGGTATGAAATGTTCTCTGCGGGTTTGTCTCTAGTGTTAAGGTGCTAGAATTCCCATCTGTCCTCTTGGGCACCCAAGGGTAGCACTGGAAAAATCGGACGAGTTGTTTGGTTGAGCTGGCTGGTTGGTGTCAATCATGTATGGCCTATATGTTGTTAACAGTATCCGTACTTTACCTCGTTGTAAATGTCTGTGCATGTTTTAAAGAGAACTGTTGACCTTGAAAGAATTTTTTTTCCCCTTAAAGTAGTTTAATTCTCTTTCACATAAACGAGAAATCACCTTTTTTCTTGACAGCAGATTTTCAGGCTGTCTACTTTCAGGGAATCCTTGTCATGTTACCTTGTTTGCTGATTCCTTGTACAGTACATTATTTTGGAACGTCGTCTTAGCAGATGTGGAGTAGTAGTCAGGCTTCTTGGATGTTGTCAGACTTGAAGTCACTGTGAACACACACAATACTTCTGGTGCTGCACATTGCAAGGAAGCTGATTTTCAGGGATTCATCTACCATTAATTATCATTTCCTTTTTCTGTAGCACTCATCCTTTCCCCAGTACATGGTTCAGAAAAACGCATGTATAATAAAAGCCTTATAAGTGTTCTGATTTGCCTTCTTGTAAACTTTAATTGTGTCCCTGCCTTGCAGAGTGGTCCACCAGGTCCCCCAGGCTCAGGAATGCCTCCTGGAGGCAGAGGGCGAGGCAGAGGGCAGGGTAACTGGGGGCCTCCTGGAGGAGAGATGACCTTCTCTATCCCTACTCACAAGTGTGGGCTGGTTATTGGCAGAGGTGAGTGCCCTTTGTTCTTCCTGTTTGCCCAGGCTGGCATAAATCAAGGCCCCAGCTGATCACCTCCACCTTTTCTTTCAGGTGGAGAAAATGTAAAGGCCATAAACCAGCAGACGGGAGCCTTCGTAGAAATATCTCGGCAGCTACCACCCAACGGAGACCCTAATTTCAAACTGTTTATCATTCGTGGCTCACCTCAGCAGATCGATCATGCCAAGCAACTGATTGAGGAGAAGATAGAGGTAGCTACTTGCTGTTCACTACATAGCAAGCCTCCCGGAGAGGGGATCTCGTCTGCCATGATTTTTGTTGTTGAATGAATTGGGGTGCTGCACTCCTCACTTTAGGAATTCATTCCTTCCTTCCTTAGGGTCCTCTTTGCCCAGTTGGACCAGGACCTGGGCCTGGGGGACCTCCTGGACCGGCACCCATGGGCCCCTTCAACCCTGGGCCTTTCAGTCAAGGGCCACCCAGTGCACCCCCTCAGTAAGTACCACGACTCCTTGATGAGGCCTACCTCTTTGACCAGTTTGCCTTTTTTTCTGGAAGTATTTTTATTCCCTTGAGAGAAATTAAAATCAGGAGTAACCCTACGTAAGAGAAATCCAAGTATTATTCTTAGCAAAATGTCCCTGTGATATCTGAGGTAGTCCTAAGCAAAAGCAGGAAACCCTGGAAGGGGTACACATGTGCAAAGTCTGAATAGTTAATATGGAAACAGCCCACATATCCATAAATCACTATACGAGGCGGCTTTGTTGTCATATTGTTAACATTAGATCAAATACACATTTTTGGGAGGAAAGTAGCACAGAACCCTTCCTGGTCATTAGCTCATTTAATGAAGGCATGTAAGTTTAGGAGTCATACTCTTTTACTGACCCCGGCTCTTTTCTTCTTGATGGTGTTAGTTCAGGGGTTCCCAAACGTTTTCAGCTCGCGGCTTCCTAGTGCTGCGGTGGCAGCAGCAGAGCAGGAGGAATGGTGAGGAGTGGGAGAAGGCCAGGAAGCAAAGGAGCATGAAAGAGCCAGAATAACAGCAGCAACAGCAGTGCCGGCTCAGGGGAAAAACAGAGAGAAAATCTCCCTGCACTGCTAGCTGGGTTTGGCAGCAGCACAGGGTGCCATGCCACACCCTTTGGGTGGAGGCCTTAGCATTAGTTGATGCTGTTCCCTTTACTACTTGGGTTTGGCCTCAGCCTAGATTCTCTTGCTATTTTAATGTGACATGTTATTTTGTTTTTTTCCAGCACTTGCTTACTTTCTTGAGAGTGAACCTAGGATTGTTTGATGATGTGTTAGGCCACAGATTGCTGAGCAATGCTTTCTTCCATCTTTGCTGGTGCATACACTCCTAGTGACCTTCTCCTTTTTTCTTTTTCCAGCCCTGGAGGACCACCACCTCCACAATACCCACCCCAAGGCTGGGGAAATGCCTACCCTCAGTGGCAGCCTCCTGCTCCTCATGACCCAAGTGAGTATGGCCTTTATATCGTTCTTTGGCAGTCACCTGTCAGGCTATTTTATTTGGTGCTTTTGTGCATGTGAGTTCAATCGGACGTGGTGGTGCTCAAGATCCAGCCATGATGATCCGTGTCTGCTCTACTGCCTCCCTTCCAGGTAAAGCAGCAGCAGCAGCAGCAGACCCCAACGCCGCCTGGGCAGCCTATTACTCGCACTACTACCAGCAGCCTCCGGGCCCAGTTCCAGGGGCACCGCCAGCCCCCACAGCACCGCCAGTGCAAGGAGAGCCACCCCAGCCGCCCCCCACCGGACAGTCCGATTACACTAAAGCATGGGAGGAATATTACAAAAAACTAGGTAACTGACTTCTACAGGGATTTATTCACCCCTTTTACTGAAGAAAAGGTTGAGGAATTAAAAATTGACTGAGAAACCAAACTGGGCAACTTCTTTTCTCAAATCTCCTTTGTTATGTAAGTAATATAGAGATTTGGGGTATGTGGTGATTTCTTTTATTAAATGGTTGCTGCATTTATTTTTGAACACTTGTCATGAGAAATATTGCTGATTTGGATTGCATGTTCAGCCAGTGCAACTCTTGTTAAGTGGCACTTAAGTGTTCATGAGCAAGCAACATTTCTGCATTGAAATACTAGCACAATGTTGAATTTAGGCCTCTGATTGTATCAGCAATGCCATGTAGTGTGGCCCTAATAGAGCTGTAGCCCCACGGTGGATTCTAGCCTTTTTCTTACAAGCCAGCATGGTTTCCTTCTGTTATATGTACAGTGTGGAGCCTTGCCTGCATAGCATGTTTGTCTCTTTGTAATGGTTTATGGTTGTCTTCAGTTTGGATCTATTAGCGTGGCTTCTGGATAGACAAGAGCAGAAGTCTTCCCTGTGCTGAAAACCACAGTGCTGGCTGGGTAGGGAGGACTCCTCCTTTGGAAACCCTGTCAAGTGGTTGGAGAGGGCTTATTCTGAAGTTCCTTATTGAGGTGTTCCTTTGTTAAGGGCATGGGGTGCCGCCATGTGGTGATTCATTATGGAGGATTATACTCAGCTCTGATGAGCCTCCCTTCCAGCTTGGCTGCTGAGGCTTGTCAGGCTTTGCAATGTTACACTTCTGAGTTGCTTCAGTTCCTTTGAAGCTCTGCCCTTCCTCAGTCAAGATCCCTCTTGTCCCTCCCCCACCAGTTTTCTGCTCACTGTAATTGGTGCCCAGCGGCCACCAAAAATGTTCTTTTAGAGTTTTGCGTTCTTGTAGATTAGTGGTTAGTTGAGGTTTCTACATAAACTTGTCCTTTGATACTATTTACAGGCCAGCAACCCCAGCAGCCTGGAGCTCCACCACAACAGGACTACACAAAAGCCTGGGAAGAATATTATAAGAAGCAAGGTGAGTCAAGAGGGCTGAATTGGCTTGGAGGACCTTGCCTGTATCATCCATTCAATCTGAGTTTGAAGGGTCTCCCTTGAGTATTTCAGGCTGTGGCCTTGTACATATGGACCTGTGACACTGTCTTTCATTGAAGTCCAGTGGGGCTTCCTTCTAAGTACATGTGTCTGGGATTGTGTTGCGAAGTCCCCCCCCCCTTTTTTTTTTTCTTTTTGGAAGCAGCTCAGGTAGCTACTGGGGCAGGGCCAGCAGCACCACCGGGACCTCAGCCAGACTACAGTGCAGCCTGGGCAGAATACTACAGACAACAAGCCGCCTACTATGGACAGACACCTGGGGCTGGTGGCCCAGTACCACCACCGACACAGCAGGGACAGCAGGTGAGTTGCAGAATTGTAGCAAAGGGAATATTTTGTTTTGGAATAAGTGTTCACATGTGCGCGCGTGCACGCACGCACACACACACAAACACATGAGCTTCCAGCTTTGAGTAAAACCCCTATGAAAACTGTAGATGTATCCTTTTCTAAATAGAGAGTCCCTTGTGTGTAAATTTCTCTCCTGGCCTTTTAATTAAGAGTTTTAAAATGCTTAATTTAGAATATATTAGCCAAAATATTCTTCTTAGTATACTGGCTGGGAACCCATTTTTCCCTCTCAGTAATGTTAGTAGTGTGTTTGCTTCAGGAATACAGCTGGAATTCAAGGGTTAGCATTTTGTTCAATTGCAAGGGCTGCCAGTTCTGTGACAAGGACGAAGGCATGGGTAACCGTTTTCTGCTCCCTGCCTAGCAGGAGTAGTAGTCGTCCACTTTCAAGAATGGGGATTGCCCTCCTGTCATTTACTTCTGATTCCAAACACTGTTGTCTTTCGCACAGGTGAGTTGGGAGACTGAGCCATAATCTTTGGCCAAAAGCACTGTCAAATTGGGTTTGCTTCAAGCTGGGCAGCAGAAAAAGATGAATTTGCACAGGATTTGGTCCCTACTTCGCAGCATTTGTCTTGCATTCATTTCACAGTTAAGATTAATTGATAAATGACATGCTTCTGAGCTATGTTGTGAGACGTCTGAGCCCTCTGTCCTCTTCCTCTGTGAACCAGTCACTATAGGGCACGCGATTTGTGCAAATTTCTCGTTACAGAGTTGTGTTATATTTGTAAATACCAGCATTTTGTGATCAGTAAACAATGCCATTGAATCAGTCAGCAAGTAACCATGACCTAGTGGGAGTTTTGAGCAAAAATATTAAACAGTTCTGCTAGTAGCATGATGGAGTACAAGCTAAAGAGCCAATATCCTGCTGTCTTCTGGATATGTATTATGTTTCATCACATCCTCTGTTAATTTTCATAATTATATGCTGTCAAGTCAATTCTGACTTATGGCCACCTTTTTCACAGTTTTCTAGGAAGAGAGGAGTCAGAAGTAGTTTACCTTTCCATTCTTCCGAGGTGCCCTGGGACTGTGCAGCTTGCCCAAGGCCACACAGGCTAGCTCTGCTCACAAGAGGCAAAAACCACTGAGCTGTCCAGCCACCTTTCTGTTAAGATGTCAGTTGAAAAAATAGAGTGATACAGTTTTGAATGAAAAATCAAAATATCAGTTTTGTGAACACCTGAGTAGTATCTGTGAGTTACTGAATGCCGAGTCATCTCTGACCATGCAAAACTTTGTTTTTCCTAATTAAAGACAAAAGGGGTCAAAACCAAACCTGGGAATATAGGCTACTTAAAAATGTTAAGGAAATTTGTGTTGGCATGTCTCTCCAGAATTCTGCTCCTGTTTTATTGGAAACATACACACCCCGGCACCTTGCTTAGATTTAAAATCAAAGATGCACTTGCCACAGTACTTCTATTGCTTATATTTTCAGGTTAATTTTCACAATGTAAGAGCTGAAATCCCACCCTGAAACCCCTGCTAGGTTGCACTGTGTTACCTATAGTGAACTCAGTCTGTGTTGACTGTGAGGAATGTACAGTGCCTCCTATGCTACTAGACAAGTCCAACCTGGCCTGTTCATAACATTACCTCTTGATAATTATTAGCGGATCCCTACAGTGGATGCGTTTGTGAAAGTGGTGTTCCTTTATTGTGGTAGTTCTTCAGAAACAAGAAGCCGTTGTCTAGAGAGCTTCCCAAAAGAATAAGCTGTAATAACATTGAGCAAGGTTCAGATTACTCAGTCAGCTCAATAACAAGGTTGGTGGGTAGAGCTGAATGGGAAGTGCTCTCACAGCATGCTGTTTTCATTTTGTTTCCAGGTGGTGAACATTTAAACCATGAGAACTAGAGGTTCCTTTAAATGGAATGAGTGGATTGGGGTTATAAGACGAGGAGACAGTAACAGTTCAGAAATGCTTAATGAAAGGCACATTAAGGAGACATTTTGACCTCTTCTGGGTTTGATCTATACACTGATTATATACTATTGTATCTAGATAATGATTAATAATATTTGAGTTCTTTAAAAAGTAACAACCAAGTGCCAGACAATTCTGTCCCAGAGATCATGTATTATACATCCTTGATGCCTTACCATTTTACTTTCTGCTCAGAACTTCAGTAACCGGCTTCTTTCATGTTTTTTTTAATATATTTTCAACAGGCTCAGTGAGTTGAATGTGAACCTCCCCATCTCTGAGAACCTTTTTGTTTTGGAAAGAGAGGTGGCTGCTGCAGGAAGTGACGGGCTGGGAAGAGAGCCGGCCTGTGGCTCTTGATTGCTGGGTTTCTTCTGGAAATCTTGGCCATGCCGCCTTCAAGTCTTTCGTAATATAAATCCAGATCTTCAGACCCCTAATGTTGAGCCTGCAGCTGTAGAAGATACCCAACTAAAACCGCCGCTGCCCATCCTGCCTGACACACACCTCAGTTTTCAGGGTAACACTTCCTTTTTTTCTTTCTGTTTTGTTTTAAAAAGAAACTTTACAAGGAAAAGTCACTCTGCTTTTTAGTTAGAGTTGGAACATTCCTCGGACAAAGGTGTTGGTGTTTCAGACAACCCCTTCCCTGCCCCTCCATTTCTCCACTGCTAGGACTGATCTGTCGTGTTTTTGTCTGTTCAAGAAGAAATTGAAACAAACAATTGTATGCTCAATTTTTACTTTTTACCGCTCGTTTTTAACTTCACAAATAAATGATAACAAAACATCCCCCCGTGTCTGCTGGGTGGTGTCTGTCTTTCTCTTTCTGTCCATAGGGTTTTTGAAGCTGATGTTTGTTCACAATATAGCTGTTGTAAAAGCCTGATAATGGTCATGAATTAAGAGCTTCCTGTGTTTTTATAGTTTGAGCAGGCATTTGTGCATTTTTGTTGAATAAAATGCTTTTTTGTTTTAAAGTCTCTTGCAACTGTGTGTGTTTCCAAAGGTAGGACCTCTGAAAATGATTCCTGCAACAAGAGTCAGATTCTTACCCTTGCTTATCAGCAGACTGTACTCATTGACCTTGGCGTGCTTTTAGATTCAGTGCATGCATCACAGCCATGTCACCTCGAATGCCTCTGAAACTACTGCAGTATTTTAAATTTCCAGATCTAGAGGTAGCTTTGTAGGTGGTAAAACATTTTGGATTACTGCAGCAGCTGCCACCTGTCTTTTGATCATTCACATTTCATAGCTTGATCCAACTATCTGGCTAACTCTGTTGAAGACATTTTGCCAGACCTGAAAAGATACTGAATATCTTTATTTATTTGTTAAGTACCTTTATGGATACTTCAAGCAGAAAGGGGTTTTTTCAGCTTCTTTCTATGGCCTGCTGCCTTCAGGGAGGACTTACTTGAGCAGAAATGTTGCAGATCAGCTTTGGGACTGTTATATCCATACTCAACAACTAACTATTACTCATTGAGCTGTTTTCCAATAATAATAATAATAATAATGTGTGAATACTTTGATTGTTGATGCATTATTGTAAGTATTTTTAAACCCACCCACCCCAAAACTGAAAGTCCTAAACCACTACTACCCCCAGTAGAGTTTCTCAATTAATTGGACTCAGTAATTGTCTTACTTCACGAATGGGGGAAGCTTGTGAAGAACAGTTCAAATGTTTTTTTGCTGTACCCACTCTGGTTGGCTATATGAATTCGCTTTTTGCTCTTGCTGGACACTTACCAAACTTGAATGGGGTGCTAGATAAGTGATGGTTTGCTGTTAAAATGCTCTATCCTGTGTTTGTCCCCTGATTTCCTGCTTCACATGTTCAATTTTTGAGTCAGCCAGGTGCCCAATTTATTGGTAACAACAGGCGCATTTGTGCGTGCTCTTTCAGTGCTAGCTGTAGACTCAGTTAGCCACCAGGAAGCTTTGACAACTACTTGTCCTGGAGCTCAGTGTTACCATGTAAGAAGGTTACAGAAGGATTTCTAGGGAAAGATAGAATAGCCTATTAAAAAATATAGTTACTTTTGGGAGAAGAACCAAAAATAGGAGTGTGTGTTCTTAAGAAAAAGTGAAGGTTGTTAATATTAATAGACACTAAAAAAACAAAATAGAACTTCTGGTATAGATCAAGTCTTCAATTTATAGCGAGGATACTGTTGCCCTCAGGTCTGCCATATGGATTGGGCATTTTGTCATCTGTATCCTTTGGCTTGTACTAGACTTCAGTTATTCAGGACTATTTACAGTATGCATGTTCATGGATTGATGACAGCACATTAAGTAATACAGTAGTTATGATGATGTACATGTGTGAACGCCCAGTCATACCACAAATGCACCTTCTGTTTTTTCAGGGATGTCAGTTCACATACAAAGCTGTAAGCCAACAGGTAACACGTCTGCATATAGGAATCAGCAATGAGGCTTTCTTTCTTAAGAGTTTTTGAGGAGGGCATTGTAATGGACCAGCAGATTTAAATCTTTATTTGAATGTAGAACTAAAGGGCTATGTAGTCAAGGCAGCTGCTTTGATCACCTCATCGACAACACTGCAGCATTTGGTAAAGACTGTATCTGGAGGTTCCTCCCCAATGATCTGTAAATATAAAAATACAGTGAAGGACTTTTGAACCATCAAAACCCCCTTCCTAATGCAAAAGAGCTGTGTAAGACAGTCCTGCTGCACCAGTGAAGTTTTGCTTAAATTCACAGATATGTAAAGTGTAAGGCACAAAACCTTTTAAGATCAGTGTGTCTCACCAGTGCTGAACAAAAAGTACTGTACAGTGGTGCCCCGCATGACGATAAACCGTTCCATTGAAATCACTGTTTAGCGAAATCATCATCATGTGAAATCTGTTTCCCGGTTGAAATGCATTGAAACCCGTTTAATGCGTTCCAGTGGGGAAAATACCTCGTTGTCCAGCGAAGATCACCCATAGGGAAGCCATTTTGCAAGTGCTGATCAGCTGTAAAAATGGCTGTCCTGCGAAGTGTGGGTCCAGAAAACACAGGGCAGCCGTTTTGCGAAGCCGATGATCAGCTGAAAAAATTGTCTTGTGAACAAACAGTTCGCGAAGCACGGACCTAATCAAGGTCCAGCGAAAATCCCCCATTTGAATGACTGTTTTGCGAATCATTATAGCGATCGCAAAAAGTCATTGTTACGCGGATTCTTCATTTAGCTGGGTCGTCTTGCGAGGTACCACTGTACATGGTTAGACCAAAGTATACATGGTGTCCCACAGTGCCCACACAGACCATGTAAATTTGTACACTATACTGGTGCCTGTAGGGATGAAAGTTGATTTAAAATGTTTTAATAAATGAATGGATCTGTTCTAAGCATATCTAAGCCTGAATCCAATCTACTGTACTGGAAGTAGACGCCAAATATCTCATCCTTCCCCTGCTGTAAGTTTTTTCCCCTTGACTTCTTTATGGGCCTAAAGGTCATTCCCAAACACTTGCCATGCAGCTCCAATATGGCCCTACATACAGCTTTAATTGTCTACCTGAGTCTCATCTCTGTGTAAACAACCCTGCAAGTGACCGTGTGAACAGTCTGTCTGAAGACAAATTATACTGGCAGCTTTCAGGACAGAATCAAATTTGACCTTAGTAGCCCTTCGGCAAGGTAGTGAGGCCACCCTGCTTCGGCTTGGTGGATATGGGCAAGGGAGGGGGCCTTGCCGGGTTCACAGGGACCTACGTTCCGGAGTAGGCTCTTCTGGAGGTAGTAGGTGAGGACAAGCTCACACTGTGTGTAGTGTGTCTGCAGGCGTTGCCGGATGATTCTCTCATGGTCGTCCACCCTCTCGCCCATTTGGCTTCGGAGCATCAGTCGCTGGATCATGGTCTCCGTACAGCAGTCAAACACTATAACGATGTTGGGTGAACGCCCCACCTGTTGTACGAAATGGCCAACTCAGCTCTTGTATGATTTGGGTCCTGATCTGGCCTAGGTTCACTGTTCAAAATGACGAAGCATGCTTGCTAAACGAAACAAGAGCCTTGCTCAGTAGCTTAGATAAGTGGGATTTACGTCCTACATTCCGTTTCCATTCATGACCAACCATAAGTTTCCAGAAAGTCCAGAAGCAGGGTATGAAGGCTTTTCCTTATTTTGTCATTCATGCTGCCCAACAACTGGCATTCAGAAGTGTGTTGCTTCTGAACATGAAGGATCTAGTTAGGTGTCATGGCTAATATCCAGTAATTTACTCTTTACTGCATGAAATCTGTCTGCCTCCTAATGCAATTCTAGCTAGAAGTCCCATCATTTCAGATAGGGTAGGGAATATGTGGCTGTCTAGGTACTACTCGATCAAAACTTGCAGCCAGGAGTTTAGCCCAAAACAGGTAGCTGCTATTACAGTCCAGATTACTGACCAGCCATTCAATCCATCCTGTATCAATTAACAAATTGGCAGAGCAAAGGAACTTCTTAATGTGGAAGCGTGCCTCGTAACAATCCATTTGGAAACATTGGCACCTTTGAGTCAGAATTACTAGGCACACAGTTTGTTTTCTAACTACACAGGGGCAGTAAGAATGCTTGTCACAAACAGGGGTGTCAACATTTCAGGGGTTCTGACTGTTCAATATCTAAAAATCCTAGCCACACGGGACCACATTCCAGCAGGTAAGCTGGATATCTGACATTCATACTTTTAGATGGACATTTTATTGAAAATCTGACAAGCAAGCAGAAACAGTGACAAACGGAAATCAGAAAGAGAGTGCTTATTTATAGTTCATTAGAAAATGCCAGTCTCTCTTCAAAGCTTTGAATAACATGTTCTCATAAATAATGTGCTAATTGGCTTACCCTATGCCAGGCTGTTCATGTAATCTGCAACAGTGTTCTGAACAGCCAGCATTAACACTCACTGTCAGTGGTTTTTGCATTTAATTTTCATCTGGCCTCATTATCCAAAAGCACACCCCATGGATGTGTACTTCCAGATGACTGATGGAAATGGACTGTAGTCCACAGAAACAAACTACAACTTATTAAGGCTTTCTGCTGCCATAGGACTCCTGATGTTTCAGTTACAGACTCTGTATTCTTGCATTTCGGCTGCCTGTTCAGAGCCAGTTCATTCCAATCTCTTTCCAGAGTTGGAAAGGGAAGTGACAACCTATGACTAGGCAGTTGCTAGCCAAACTTCAGAGAATGGCTGAGACTGATGGAAGGTGTAAGTGAAAAGATTTAGAGGCATCAAGCTGGGGAAAGCCATGTTGGGTTATTAGCAAGCAAAACCTTCCCCACAGGTTGGTTCAATTAACTCGTAGGGAGCTTTAACTTTCCCAGCCCTTTATAGGGAAAGGCACCCTTCCAGTCTTCACCCCGCCACCCACCCAGGAACTGCACTTACAACTTCTTCAAACAGCTTGGCCTGGTTGACGTCCCGGGGGAAGCCCTCAATTATGAATCCTTTGACACTGTTGGCCTTCAACATGTTGTTGATCAGCAGGTCTACAATGTAGCCCTAGGAAGACAGGCAACTCAATCCTCAAAGAGCTTGATTACACCAAAGAAAAACTGAATACCACCCTTCCTAATGCTATCTTCCCTCCCCCCCCCCTTTTCTCTTGCTCTGGACAAATCTTAACCTTTGGTCACATTTCTGCTATTAATTCAAGACTGGCAGGCACAGCCTATCTTGAGTCTGGAAACTAAAACCACCCTAGAGCAACAGTTTTGTCACTCTTACTGTTCCTCCTAGCTGACATCCTGCTCATGTGCTGCACAAGCAAGCAAGCTACCCGTCATCCCGAAAGCAGAGATGGGAACCTCCAGTTTGCAGGCCCCTTGCACCCCATGGGGTGGGATTTCCACTCAAAAGTTTTTTTTCTGCTCTTTGTCCAGCAACAACAATGGACAAGCTGACATGCTTAGTCTGAGCCTTCCAAATTCTTATTTAGCACAATCCACATTCATTGCTGTTATCATGAAGCTTTTTAAAAAGGAAAGCAAATGCCAAAGCACTCAAGATGATGCTTTTGCATCTAGGCAGCTGTCCCCCTCTTCCCTGGTCACTTCCAGTACAGTACATGCCACAATCTAGTTAGAGCAAGACAGGGTAGACTAGGGTGGTCCTATGGAAATGAGTGAGCATTGCTCACTTGTGTGCTTCAGGAAGCATACAAATCTGGGTTGGCTGTGGGTGCCTCATTAGTCCTGATATACCACAGCACAATTTCCACATTTTAGAAAACTATCACTCAGATTTGACTTTTGGAATGATGAACCTCTTAAAGAAGGAGAAAAGAGCCCTTCTGTATCAGGCTGAAAGTGCTTCTTTAAGCTCTGAGCCTCCAGATGTTTTAGCCTTAAACTCCTAGAACTTCCAGGCAGTGTGGCCAAAGATCAAGGATGCTACAAGTCTGCCATCCAAAATATTGTAAGGACCAAAAGCTGGAAACCACTTAGACCAGGCCAGCTATTTCATTTTCCCACAGAGTCCAAATCATATCATTTGGAAAAGTTTTCAAATGATATGATTTGGACTTCATACTACCTCAGTTTGGAGGTTTGGCTGATCACAAGCTTTAATTTTTTAAATTCAGTTCATGCCTAGGGCAGGACTGGGAAATGTTAAAGATGTTAACTCCAGATGTTGAAGAACATTAGTTAGTTGGTTTTATTATTAGGTATTATTAAGCATGCTATCCTATTGTATTTTATCATTTATGTAAGCCGCCCAGAGTAGACTTTGTCTAGAGGGGCGGGGTATAAGTCTAAATAAAAGTAAAGTGCTACAGTAGTTTCATGATCCTTTGCCCTTGACTAGGCCTGATTGGAATCCCACAACATCTGGAGGGTGGCATGTTCCCCAGGGCTGATGTAAACCAAGATTTGTATATACCAGATTGCTGCAGTACACTTTCTTCCATGCAGAAGCACAAAAAGTCAAAACCTCTACATCATCCATAGTTTAGAAGATGGAAACCGTCCAAACCAGAACAGCTTGTGTTTTTTTAATTACAACAAAATCCAGCTGCTGAGAATGAGCTTAGAATCCTACCCACCTCACTAATTCATTCTGCCTTTCCCCCCTGTGTATCTACATATCAGCTACATAAAAAGTGCAAATCATTTGCTGTCTCTGAGGGGCATCTTATTGCAGAATGCTTTGCCTTCCCAATATTTTGGACTTCAATTACCAGAAGAGGGGGGAGACTCCCTGTGCAAGTCTTGGTATAAGGCATAGTAATGTGGAAGTTTAATTAGAACAGATCTCAGAGGGCAGCAAAATAGAGAGCTGATCCCAACACTTAGAAAAGGAAGTCTTATGGGTGAAACTGTCAAGAATCCCAACATGGTTGTGGATTCTGGGAGCAGTAGTCCAACAATTCATTTACACTCAAAGGACCGAACCTCTCACTGGTATGATCATGGCACTGATGGGGAAATTAACAAACAATAATCTAGTTTTGTGAAGAACCACTAGCAGTTTTGTGAAGAACCACCAAACAGTTTAGAATGAGTAAGAGCATCTACTTAGAAGGAAGTCCTTCGTTTTCAATAAGGCTTATTCCCAAGTAAATGCGAATAGCACAGGCTAGCAACTTAAGGCATTATGGGTATTGCAGTTCATCAACATCTGAAGGGCCACAAGTTGCCTATAGAACAGCAGCCTTAGCATTGGATGGAAGAGATGTCAAATCAAACATATTCAATTGTGAATTGTTAAAATAATTGTGTCTATGGGATTTACTGCAAATGAGCTATATTTGTTCTTTTCCTCTTTCAAGTGTATCACGCAGAATCACATAAAATGCAATGAACATAGACTGAATACAAACTAAGTCCTTTCTTAGTTCCACTGAAATCAACAGTATTTAGATGAGTCATGATAAACCAATTCCATTGATCCCAATGGGACTGAAGCAGGAGTTGGTAACCTCTGGGTCTCCAGATGTCATTGAAGTGTTGGGTGACAAGTCTCTCCTACCCTAGCCACGACAGTCAATGGTGAGGGCCAACAGGATCGGTTGCCACCCAACAACATCTGTTGCCACCCAACAACATTTGGAGGCTCTCCTTTTGCCCCCCCCCCCGAAGCTAGACTCAGCCCTGATCTGACTTAGATGTTATAAAAGCTGTCCGATGGAATAAACTTCTGCCAAAGAACGGGTGCAAGGAGAAAAACCTTACCGAGGGCACCAGAGCTCCTTTCAACATGATATCCCTGATAGCTCTGCCCCTGCGGTTGGCCCTGCTAGCCTCTACCCGCAGCAGATCCCCAATAGCCACATGGGAGAAATTGTACTTCTGAGCCATCTGTCTGCTTTGTAGCCCTTTGCCAGAGCCTGGGCCTCCGATTGTGAAGATGATGATGGGCCCCTGCAGCTTCTCTGTAGGAAAAAAAAGGTGGGGGGATGAAAGGGGTGGTGGGGAAGGCAGGTAAGTAACATACCCACCACAGGTTCAGCAACAAGATGCAAACATCCAATATTGACAATAGTCTTTATTTCCCAGGTCTTGTCTGGTGACCTCAAGGCAGCCCATGGGGCTCCCCCTCCTCATCCTCCTCGGAACAACCCCGCGGGTTGGCCAGAGGAAGAGCGATCAGCCCCTGGTAGCCCAAGGTCAACCAGGGAGCTTTCTGCCTCTGTGAGGACTTCGACCCGAATCTCTCCAGTCCCAGCCCAGCACTCCAACCTCTGCCCTACCATGACTTTCTGACATGGAATCTGACTGGCTGTCCTCCCGGGGTGACCACCTCAGACTCCAGGCTGTGACTGCCATCGCAGGCAGCAGAGAGGGAAATGATCAGCTCTGACCCAAGGGGTGGCACAATCCACTGCTATGTCCACCAGTAAAAGCGCCCACAGAGAACAGACAGGAACTGCTTCAAATATCTAGACTTCCTCGGCACACTGGAACATACGAAGCTGCCTTATAATGAATCAGAGAGAACAGACAGGAACTGCTTCATAAATCAAGGCTAGACTTCCTCGGCACACTAGAACATACGAAGCTGCCTTATAATGAATCAGAGCATCAGTGTGGTTGGCTCTACCATTAGTCCAAGAAAGCAGATTCCAAAGGAAGGAGTGGCAGCCTCCTGGCGGTGACATCCAGATGCCACAAAGATTTCCCTCTGCCACTCAGTATGCCCTGGGTTCCCTTCCCTTCGCCCGATGCCTCAGGAGTCTTGGAGGATGCTCCCCCATTGTCTGTACACCACGGGCAGAAGAGCTGCACGTTGGATACACAGACCCTGAAGAACGGGCTCTCCCTTTCAGCCTCTTCCATGCACCATTTTCCCAAATGAACCAGATACTATATTGCAACAAGACAGCCTAGCTCCCCTCACTTCAATGCCCCTTCCCTTTTTTGGTTTGTTCCTATTGCAGAATCCAATCTGCTGGGTCTGAATGCTCACCGGCCATTGACTGCAAAGTTTTTACTGTAGTTCTCATGGTCCCATTGAGGAACAGAGGTCACAGACCTTACAAAAGCAAGAGCAAGTGGTACCTTTATGGGGCCACTAAAGGCATTACCGGCCTTGCTTGTATATTGTGTAAGGACCGCATGGCTTTGCTTGTGTTTTCAGATCACAGACATAGACTACTGTGCTCTAGAAGATGGGTTGGGAATGTGTGGGCTTCAGAAGTTGTTGGGCTGCTGCAATGCCCAATCGCCCGAAGCAACATAACCAATGGTGAGGGAGGACAGGAATTGCCATCTAACAATATCTGGATGGCCACATCTTCCCAATCCCTGCTCTAGAGCAAAGTGACCTGAAATTGTGGTTGATCTACAACTCTCAGAATCCCTTATCATTGCCTATAGTGGCAAGGCATTCTGGGCACTGTCTAGAAACCATTTTTAGAAGGTACAACCTGCAACACTCGGAAGGGGACAAAAAGAATGGTCACTAAGGTGAGCTGGAGTCTCTCAGGATAGACCTACCTATCACAGCTTGAGACATATAAGTTTAGGAAAGCCTTTACTCTGGCTAGATGTGAGGCTTTCCCTTCTGCGGTGTTGGAAGGCAGATTTCAGAAAATCCCAAGGGAACAGAGATTCTGCCCTTGTGGATCTGACGAGATAGACTCTATTGAGCATATGATGCTCAGATGTAACAGGCATAATAAGATTTGAGGAAAATATATTACATCTCTCTTAAAAGATATGGCAGGTCAATTGGGTTCGGACTACTGTAACCAATTGTTAATCGACTAAAATCGGACTACTACAGAACTGGTAGTGAAATTTTGGGTGGCATGCTATAGCAGCCAGAATAAACAGCTAAACCCTTAGACCTTGGTCTTACATTGCTATATTTGCTGTTTTAGATATTTTACTTTTTGTACGTCTGGTATGACTGGCATGTAGTGCATGCCTGTCTTTGGAATTTTGTATTCAATTTTGTATGGCTTGATTCTGTAACAATAAAGTATGTATGTATATATGATGGATGCAACTACATTCTCAGTGTCGATCCCAATGGCAGCTTCCCCTCACCGGGCAGTCTTCTTTTGTGGCTCTGACTGAAACAAAGTAGCATGAAAGGCATCAGGAACATGGCTTTCTTTGTAAATAAAAAGATGTCAACAAGATGATTGCTCCAGAGGAGCAACTGCACCACAAACAAGATGGTGGTTTCTTTAAGACGGGGTGGGCAAAGTGCAACTCTTCAAAAGTTGCTGGACCGCAACACCCATCAGCCTCACCAGCATCACTAATAGCAAGGCATGCTGGGTGTTGCAGTCCAAGCCACGCTTGCCCACCCATCTGTTAAGGGGAGCAGAATTGGGGACAAACAGGTCTGACCCACATGGGGCCGTTTATAGGGAAAACCCCTTGTGTGAATGTGAGCCCTATTGGAGGAACTGGAAAGACTTTCATGCAAAGGTTTCTACCGGCTAGGACCATGGAGAGGGGCAGGTGCTAAAGAGCAAAAGTTACCTTTTAGATCCCGCCTCAAGGGCTTGGTGGTTGTGGGAAGGCTTCCCTGGCAATTCCCCATTCTGAGGGCGACACCCAGGGAACTCCAGGCATGGGTCCAGGAAACTTCAAACTCCTCTACAAAACTAATATGCCCATTTCTGCTTGGCTCACATGTGAACCCCTCAGCTCTCTTTCTGATGTCACAGACATCTGATGTCATGGTTGCTCTGAACCTGACATAGGCAAAGCTGGCATAGGTGGGTTGCTTTACTCTCATGGTGAGATGGTTGTTGGCTTCTTATTAGAGTTGGCAGAGCGCTGGATAAGAAAGAACTCTCACTGTGTCGAAAACAAGAAACCAGTCTTCCACACGTAGGCTGGGTGATTTAATTAGGCATTAAAGAAGATAAGGTAATTGGTCTAATTTAGAGTTTGCAAGCAGGGAAGAAGGAAATCTCTCTCTTCTTTGCTTTATAATTCTTTCAGGAAACAGAAGGGAAAGAGACTGTTAAAGATTCTGGCGATTGCCATCAGTGGGAACATAAGGAGGAGTGATTATAGAGGTAGGTGTCTTGTTGAGGTGACCAAAGCCTTAGCATCCCCCTCAGTTGCTTGTGGCTTGCAAGACTGATCTTTCTCGGGGACGTTTATTTCACCTGCAGAGATTTCTTCCCACATATAATTTTTTTAATTGCCAGGTAACGGAAGCTCCATCCCTCAGGCCAAATGTAGGGGAGTCTTCAACAAGGCCCAAAACTTCTTCTGCACAAGATATTAGGAGTTATATTTAAAGTTTGGGAAGCTGTCGCATGGAAACAACATCAAATGTTCAATCTGGGAACCTGAATGGATATTCACAAAATTGAGCTGCCCTTTGTATGTGTGAAAGCTATTATGCTGGGGTTTATTCCTGGAGAAATCTGAGCTATACTTTGTAAGCCAGGAGTAAAAAGGTCTAAATTAGCAGATCTAATTCTGTCCAGTTTACTGCAGCCACCACCCTCTGCCCCTTGCTTTGCCCATTCCTATAAGGTGACCCATAACACCTTTCCAAAATTAGCATTTGGTTCCCAGGCCAAATCACCATTCCCCAACCTTGTTGTATAAGAACCAGCTTAAACATGACCAGCTATAAAGGTGACTGAGAATATAGAAATACAGTAGTCTGAAGTAAAATTAGCCTTGAGATAGGTGTATGTGTATGTGTATGCGCGCGCGCGCGCACGCACACACACACGTAGGTGTGTGTATGTGTATGCACGCGCGCATGCACGCACGCACGCACGCACACACACACAGAGGGATGCTTTCCTGCAGGATGTCTCTGTGCACCAAGGAAGACAGATCCCATCTATTTATTAAATTTTTCTCCCCTTTTCACTATGAGTAGCATCAAGGCAGCTCACAGTGAAATATAAAATAAAAAATGAAATTATAACTAACCATCAATGGAGAAAAAACACAGAGCAAGCTTGTCCTTTCTTGGCAAAGAGTCCACAGACAGACAGCTGCCAAAAAATAAAAATAAAACAAGTCAAGCTTTTCCACTGAGTTTCCATTGCTGGCAAACTTGTAATCTTCACATCAAAACACACTCAAGTCCTAGAAAACAAAAAAATTAACATTTAACAGATTGTCATTTGGATTCTTCAGTCCAACAGGTACAGATACAGGCAAAACAGCAAAGCCAATGTGGAATAATGGTTAAAATTAAATCCTGATCTTGGATTGTTTTGAGGATTAATCAGAGTAAAGGGGTCTGGAGGACTAGTACAACGAAAGTATTCTTGAAGGAAAAGTAATTGCACAAATTTTATAATTTGGTTTGATTGTTCCCTTAACTAACAGACAGTAAATTGTTGTAAATAAATTAATTAGCGTACGTAGCCGCTTGGGCTCCTGGGTCTCTTCCACCCCTTCCTCCGGACCAGACCCAGGCGTCCGACTGCCTCCCCGTCCCTCCTTACTGCAAGGTCAGTCCCGGCAGGGGACCCATTGTATCACACAAGTGGTAAACTGTGTGATACAATGTAATATTTCACATGACTTACGGCTATCCCAGTGTGGTATAAGTGGACAAAGTGACTGACTAGGACTCAGGAGGCCTGGGTCTGAATCCCTGCTTGGCCATGGAAGCTCACTGTGGGTGCAGAACTGGTAAAAGCACTCCCTAAATGTCTCACTTACCTTGAAAGTCCCATTAGGGTCACTATAATTCAGTTCCAATTTGATAGCACAGAACAATGACTTAAGAACCTTTGACACTCAGTCTTTTTAAGTGAGTCCTCACCTTATCTCCCATATTATACATCCTATTTCCACTGTTTCTCTTTCAAAGCTGGTTTTGTAGTCCCCCCCCCAAAAAAAAACCAGTGACATTCAGGTCATTAAAAGAGTGTCCAGACAGACTGAAATGTTCTGGAACAGGTTTTTGTGTACTGCCATTCCAGGTGTCAGATTTATGTCCATTAATTATTTTGCACATACTGTACAGCACATTGTCCTGTTTGTCATATGTAGAATGACATTGTTAGCAAAGGATGGCACAGAATCCACAGAACACTTAAAAACCTGTTTTGAAACATTCCTGTCTATCTGGACACTTTCTGAATGACTTGAAAGCCACTGCTTTTATAACAAACACACACTACAAAATGAGACTTGAAAGAGAGAGAGATGCGGTAAGATATATACAGATGCAATCAAACCAGTTACCTCGGAAGTTGGTGAGTGCTCCAACACTGGAGGCATTAAAGAAAAACTTGGATAATCACCTGGCAGGTATGCTTTGATTGTATTCTTGCACTGAGCAGGGGATTGGACTTGATGGCCTTGTAGGCCCCTTCCAACTTCACTTTTCTATGATTCTGTGCTGGAGACTCCTTTAAAAGGACTGAATATTAATCAAGGGTTCTTAAGTCATTACCAAGGCTGAAATGCTACATTCATTCAGTTTGCCACTTGTGTCAACTATGTTACTATTACCTGGTAGACTGACAATTAACATGATTCACAGTCTGTTTCTTTACCAACGAACCATTGTCACTTTGTCCATCTGTATCTCCACATATTCATCAGTCCATGTATAAAAACGTCAGTCACACAATCTCATTCTTCTGTCTGAGGAAACACCCTTGATCCACCAAAGCTCGTATTAAAAAAATAGCAGTTAGCCTGTCAGGTGCCACAACCTTTTTGTCCCGTTTTGGGGGTTTTGCTTGGTATTATTATTATTAATTATTAATTATTATTAATTATTATTATTATTAATTAGTGCTCATCCACTATGTGGTTTAATGATCTAACTTGGGAGTCCCAATGGAAAGCATCACATCTTCGTAAGAGCATCTTCTCCGACTAAAAATAGATTTTGTCCTGCCCTCCCACCCCTCCTTCGGGAGCGTCAACTGTACGATGACACACAAACCCACCCTCCAACTTCCGGTAAAGGAGCCGGTATTTCCGCTCTTGCTCGACTAGTGGGCGGAGCTGGTTGACGCTAAAGAGATCCAGCCCCAACAATAGCGCTCCACAGAGTCATGACTGCCGGCTCCTAATCGATTCATCCATCCAACAGGAGACTAATAGAAATACGCAATAATCAACGTTAAGTAGAAATGGGCAGAGGCTTCTGTTGTCGGGTCTTGAAATAATAACGCTGCCAGAATGGCAAGCGGCTGTTTTGTTAATGGAGAAAAAGACTCGGACGTAGGACGGCTAAAGTAATTGCGCTTGTGCGGTAAGAGGGTACGAAGAGCTTGATTCCTACGTGGGCAAGAAACGCCGCTGGGCTGCGCTTGGGAGTCCTTCTGGCAGGGTTTTCTGGGTTCCGTCATTGCCGTCACGCCTAAAGCGTTTTTATAGGAGGCTCTCCTCAGTTCTAGCCCGACCAGAAAGTGGCCTTTCTGAGCCGAGATTCCAGATCGGGAGTTCATCGGGTGCAGAGGCGCCTCCTTCGTGCGGCATTGCAGAGCACAAGAAGCCCTGACCAGAACGGGTCCTTCTCCTGCTCCTGGTCTCCTTCTTGGAGGCTCGAGGGGCTGGCCGCCTCCGGTCTCGCCTTCCTTTGCCCCTCACATGGAGGATGCCGCCTACGCGGCCGTCGGGCGCCTGAGGTTGAGGCGACGAGCCGGAAAGGCCGCGCCCCCTTGACTTGCTCCCGGGTTCCGACGCATGCGCGGGAGAGGAGAGGGGGGCCGCCGTGATCTACCTGGGTGAGAGTGAATGACTGGGGGAGGCGAGCGAGGCGTCCCCGTGCCTCGTGGTGTCGCTGCCATCGACGGAGCCGCGCGGGCTCCTGGGCCTCTTCCACCCCCTTCCTCCGGACCAGACCCAGGCGTCCGACTGCCTCCCCGTCCCTCCTTACTGCGAGTTCAGTCCCGGCAGGGGACCCAGGCGTCCTGGCTTCCAGCTTCCCTGCCCCACCTCGATGCCTTGCTTCCAGTGAAAAGCCCCCGGGCTCCGCCACCCACCCAGAATATCCTCCTCCTAGCCTGTTGTCAGAAGGGGAAGCAATGAATCCCCGTAACAGTTTTGTGTTTAGCCTGCTGTTACTACTCTGCTTTCTATAAGATGTTCTCTTTTTAAAAAGAAATGTAAAGCTGGGAGCTTTTTCTCTGGAAGGTCTTAAATGTGTGGCCTTCCAGCTGTTGGTAGACTGGCTGTGTTGGTTTAGACAGTGATGGGAGTCACGATCCAGCAGACCGGGAAGTCCATGTTTCCCACCTCTGTTTTAATACAGGGAGCATTCTACACATGATGAATGGCGGTTGTTGTTGTTGCTTCCCTTTTATTTGTACTGTGCTTTTTTTTCCTTTTAAAACAAAAGTGCACCTCTGCATCAGAAAAGCATAGTGCTCTGAAAGGATCAGGAGCATTTTGCTCTTTTAAAATAAGCTGTATAATTGCACTCTGCACCAGTGTAGAAACATTATTTGGATGCCACAGTTTGAGCAAGAAAATGTGGCAGGCCTAAGTGGAGGGCTTTTCTTGCCACCCTGGTCCTCAGTAGTTTTAATTTGTCCTTTTCCCCTCCAATGATTTTATTCCTAGAGGTTCCGTTCTTTCTTTTTGAAGTGACATATTTTATCCTTTTTCTCCCTCAGACTAGCAGTTTTACAGAGACTTGGCTGGACATCTCCTCAGCACGTCCAGAAATGACTTCTTTGGTGAGTTCTGGTTCTGTTGGGATTCAGGCAATCTTGTTGAAGCCGTGTCTGTGACCCTTTCCAATCCTGTTTCCTGAATCAAGGCAGCTGACTCCTGTTGATTTGTTGGTTTCCCAAGTACAGTACTGAAAAAGCTTTGCAGTCTGTGTTTCTCATCCTCTTACACTGTTGCCTGTTCAGAGAAGTGGCCAGGCTAGTTTCAGTGTTGTTACCCCCAAACGAGACTTGGCAAGCCATATAATCTTTTCTGCTTTTCAGCTCTTCCCCTCACTTCCCAAGGCAGCCTAAAATATTCCTCTTAGCAAGGGCACTAGGCAGTCAGAAGTGCAGCTCGCTTTCTTTCATGCATATCTTTAAAAAATGTTTCAAAAGTATTCCTGAAAATTGTGATGTGTATTTGTGTATTCTCCTGAATCTAGATTTGGTGCCAGGTGCCACCTGCTTGCACATTAAAATGCCACGTGATGAAGCTAGTCCTCGGTGGTAACGCATCCTTCTTGTCTGTTAAGAGTAGCACATAGACTGGGATGTTTATCTGCCTGAGCTGGGAATGCAGAGAGAGGAACATGCGTGGCTCTCTCTTATCACCTCATGATTGCCTTGTCTGGTGATGCCCGGAGAGTGTATACTGGCCTGCCCAACACAGGAGCATCTAGATGTTTAGGATTATAATTCCTATCCTCCCCAGCCAGCATAACCACTGGTCAGTAGTGATCAGAGTTTTACCACAAAACATCAGGAAGGCATCACTGATGGTTGTTGGATCATGCTGTTATTTTGAACCTGCACCCACATGTTCATAGTTCCTGTCTTACGAAAAATGCTCAGCCATGCCATAGCTGAATGTATGGTTGTAAGAGGCCTAGGACCACGTAGGCCAGCAGCCACAGACATGAGCTTGCCTTGTGTCTTAATTTGTTGTAATTTTTCAGCTCCTCCTTAGAATTTTTGATGCTATGCAACAAGGGGGTTCACAACCCCCTGCAAGAGGATGTCAGGCAAAATCGGGTGTGCAGCTGTCCTTCCAGATGTTTTTGGACTGTGGCTCCCCTAGGCTTTCACTTTGGGCTGTGGTAGCTAGAGCTATAGGCCAAAGGCCTTTTGAGGGTCACAGTTGCTCCCCTTTGCTCAAAAGAGAAGAGATGCTGCCCTTGACTGGTGCTCATCTTGTTGCTTCCTAGGGCTCTTGAGTCAGACTCAATGCCATGGAGGCTGTGAGGTCATCCCCCTTTTCTCCTTCCTTTCCTTTACTGGTACAAATTCCTATCCTGTTTGTTGTCATTGTCACTATAGGGGACCAGCAGCCAGACAGCAACTGAATATGTGGTCCGTGTTCCCAAGTAAGTGTCATTAGCTTTCTTTCTTTTTAACACATCATCTTGATAATTTTTAGTTCACATCATCTTGATAATTTTTCCAACTGGATATTAAACAATTGAATATTAAGCAAGGCTGCAGATAAGGACAAAAGGGTGCTCTAAACATTTGTAGTGAGAGTGGGTTTCACTGTGGGCCCCACGAGCAGATGGAAGTTTTGTGGGCTGGTCTCCTGAGCCAAGATTGTTGCTTAAATTGTCCAAGTGATGGGGTGGTCCCTGAAGCAGATTCTGCAAGACACTTGGAAGGCTTTTGTTTAATTGGAAGGAGCAAGAAGATCTTGGAGCACGCTGAGCTAATCATGCTTCTCATTGATAGTGGAGTTTTAGCATTGTTGCCCTGGTAATGTTGTATAGCATTGTAAAATCACTGAACAAACCACAGGCAGACAGAGACTATAGGGAAACATTTCCTTTCTTCAGAAACGTAGAGTTTTGGGCACTAATTTGTCTCAAGTCTCCTTGCTTTTTCCACAGAAACACCTCTAAGAAATACAACATTATGGCCTTCAACGCTGCTGACAAGGTCAACTTTGCCACCTGGCACCAGGTAGGACTTTATTTTATTTATTTATTAAATTTATACCCCGCCCCTCTAGACCATGTCTACTCTATCCAGGCTACTGAAATTCATTAAAAATGGTTGATTCATTAAATATTTGTCCCTTCATATTTGTCAGTTCCAGAGACCCCCAACGGATGCGAATACGAAGGGACGAATATTGCCCCATTTTTATTCGTCCCCTATAGGAAAAGGGGGAAGGCTACCCTTACCTTTCTGCCGATAGGCAGCCAGCCAGCCCCACAGCCTATACCCCACCCCCTTCCTCTCCCTACCTTAGCACTGCCACCATCCACCACTGGCCAGCGCCACCATCATCCATCACCGCCACCATCTCCAGCTGGCTTCTGCTGCCATGGCCTGCAGAAAGGGACACTGGCTGCCCTTTGCAAAGATGGAGGCTGTGGCTTCATTTAGGGTAGGGGAGCTGCAGCCTCCATCTTTGCAAAGGGCAGCCTGGATTCCCTTAGCCTGCAGGCCGTTGCTGCGGAAGCCAGCTAGAGACGGTGGCTGTGGCAGCAGTCTGGGGGTGGTGGTGTGGCAGTGGCCACTTTGGTAGGGAGGCAATGGGGCAGGCTGTGGGGTGGGGATCACCTTTGTTTTTCAGACAGCCTCTGGCTGTCTAACTCCCCCCCCCCCACGAACCAGTGAATAAATTTGTGCTTTTGTGCTCGTCAACTTTGACAGATCACGAAGCGGGACAACTTGCCAAAATGGTGAGTTGTCCCCATCTCTAGTTAAAACCAATGTAAAATAACATCAGCTGTTAAATAAGATGGCAACATCATAAAAACAATGAAATCCAAGGTCAGTTTGTAAAGCCCAGAAAATTGAAATGAAGGCAGGATAAGGGAAATCAATTTTAAACTCATTCACTGGTCCTACAGTTGTAATTGGACTGCAGCTTCCTTAGCTTTAACAACAGCGGCAAATGGAGAAGGATCCTGCTAGTTGTGGTCCAGGAACAACCAGAAGGCCACACATTCCCATCCCTGATCTAAAGCGACATAGCACTGAGACTTGCCGAATTTTGACTAGGGGGTCGTGCCACAGCAGCTGCCTGCCAAGCAGCCAAAGAATCCAGGGCCTTATATATTGAACCAAACAGAACATGAAGGTGGACTTCATTCTGTACAAGATGTACACAAAGGCCCCCCTTCCCTTGACCAAGGACTGCTGTGCCAACATTTTTCTTGCTTCTCCTTAGGCAAAGATGGAGCGAGATCTCAGCAATAAGAAGATCTACCAGGAAGAAGAGTTGCCTGAATCAGGAGCTGGCAGCGAGTTCAACCGCAAGTTGCGAGAGGAGGCACGGCGCAAGAAATACGGCATCATCCTGAAGGAGTTCAAGCCGGAAGATCAACCCTGGATCCTGAAGGTCAACGGCAAGGCTGGACGCAAGTGAGCCCTTGGCAGTGTTGCTATTTTCCAAGTGTGTTTGGGCTTTGCAGTTTTGGCTACCCCATTTCTCTTCTATTTTTTCACAAAGAGCCACTCCAGTTTCATGGGTGGTGGTGGTGGTGGTGAATGGAGCAACGTATTCCTAAGGGAATATGACTACACGCTGGGTATGATCACCAGAGAGCAGCGTAATCTAGTAGCAGTTCCAGGAAACTGGAAAGCAGGACACGATAACACCCTTCTGCTCCTGTTCCCTAACAATGGGACGATGGCATTTTTGTAGGGCTTTCGGCCAATTAAAGGTCTTTTGATTAAAAATACCTGACAAATAGTGTGAATAAGTTAATTACATCCACCTATTTTAATTTGACCTTCTGGTTTAGAATGGATGTAACAAATGTTCTGTTACAAGTTTTATTTCTCCATTTATAAAGTCGGGGGCACAGATTCTTCATGGGGTGTCTTCATCCTGATCCTACCCCACTCCTTTCTGGATCTGACTCCTCTTCATGGTGCTTCTGCTTTTAAAGTCAGAGGCAAACACCTGTTTCTCCTTTTTCAGGTTCAAAGGAGTGAAAAAGGGTGGTGTGACTGAGAACACCTCCTACTATATCTTCACACAGTGTCCAGATGGTGCCTTTGAAGCGTTTCCAGTCAACAACTGGTATAACTTCACACCCATCGCCAAGCACCGCACGCTGACGGCAGAAGAAGCTGAGGAGGAGTGGGAGAGGTGAGTGCCAGAGATGCTCATTCCTCCCCAAGATCCATGTTCATTCCTCCTAGGAAGCTAGTGTACTGTCAGAGGGGCAGTTAAATGCATTTCATTGTCATGGGCTACACTGGGCAGCACCAGAAGATGGTGAGGTGTCACCAAACAACTGGGAAAGCAGATGTATGGTTAAATCAGCTACGCTGCTGCAGAGCCAGCCTGAAGTCCAGTCTTTGAGTGAGTGAGTGAGGGGTTCACAGAGTCCAGTGGGCACAGACTTGGCAGGCTCCCAGGATTTCTCCTCTTTCCAGTCTGGTGAGTCTGCTTTTATTACTTCCATAGTGTTTTCATATACAGGAAGCAGTGGCAAGCAATAAAGACAGGTCCTTGGCCTGAACGGCTTTCATTCATAAATGTGCCACCAGGGAAGTGAGAGCAGACTGGGGAAGAAATATAGGTTCAGCATAGTTACATGCACCTTGGTTTACCGTATTAGAGACCCTCTAGGTTTGAGGAGGGTCCCAGCTGGATGGTGAGCCTTTGATTTCTGTTCTGTTCATACTGCCACTGTACTCTAGGGTTCATGCCCCAGGGAGATCCTTTTAGTCCTGTTAAGGGTTTACATGCACCCAGCGGGCTCTCTTCTCCTCTGAAGAGCAGACTTCTATGTTGTACCATTTCCCTCTGTTTCAAAAACAGCTGACACGAAGGAAGAGGGACGTTCACATAACATATATAGGAGGCTGCTGTGGGCACCCAGGACTAGGGTAATAAATACAGTGGTGCCTCGCTTAACGAGTGCATCATTTAACGACGAATCCGCAAAGCGACTTTTTTGCGATCGCAAAAGCGATCACATTGCGATGTTTTTAATGGTAAAACATTGCTTTGCGGCAATCGGTAAGCTGTTTCGCTTACCGATTTTCGCATAGCAATGTTTTTTCTAACAGCTGATCAGCAGTTCCAAAATGGCCACCAGGTTAAAAAAAGGCTGCCCGCTGTGTTTTCGCGCCCTTTCCTCGCTTATCGGGCAACAAAAATGGTGGCCGTATGGAGGATTTCTGCGGAACTGTGAGTTTTTTGCCCATAGGGACGCATTAGACATCTTTTAATGCATTCCTATGGGCTTTTTTGTTCCGCATAGCGACAAATCCGTATAGCGACGATTTTTTCGGGACGCATTATTGTCGCTATGCGGGGCACCACTGTACTTGTGCATCTGCATAGCACTTTAGAGTATTCAAAGTTCTTCATGTTTAGGATCATGGTAGTCCACAGTGTCATGCTGAGGCAGATCATGGTTACCCACCTATTACTACTACTACAGGTAGAAGATGGCTTGGCAGGCTTTTTTCCCAGTCAGTCTGGCTGAGCTTAGCTCTTCCTTTGCAGGCGGAATAAGGTCTTGAATCACTTCAGCATCATGCAGCAGCGGCGGCTGAAGGACCAAGGCGAGGAAGAAGAAGAGGAGAAGGAGAAGAAGGGGAAAAAGAAAGGTGGTGATTTGAAAATCCACGACCTGGAAGACGAGCTGGAGATGAGCTCTGATGACAGCGATTTCAGCGATGCTGATGGTGCGGGGGCTTGAGACTGAGAGACCTTGTATGGGGATCCTTGAGAGGCAGTCACCTGATTGAGGAGAGGCACTCCCTTGGGCCCCGCTGAGCCTTCCTTCTTGTACACCTGGAGAATATGGAGAAGAAGTGCCCTGGGGAGGCTTGGTTTGAGTTAACATGTAATGGGAACTTCTGCTCCTACCACCCCTTGTGACAGGGGCCTCTATCTTTTCCTATATATTATATAAAGCCCTCCCTTCCCACACTCACCCTTTGGATTAAACCTTTTTGCTCACTGAGAGAAAATTGATCGTGCTGTTGTTGCCTCTTGCTGTTAGGTGAGAAGCCAGCCAAACCCAAGAAGAAGGCGCCTCAGACCAAGAAGAAGAAGAAGGCCAAGGGATCAGACGACGAAGCCTTTGAAGACAGCGATGATGGGGACTTTGAGGGCCAGGAGGTTGACTACATGTCTGACGGATCAGGGTAAGTCCCACCACAGGTGAGGAGGAGTCTGTTCAGCTGAGTGACTGTTATCTGGCAATTTCCTGTGCAGTCCACCTGCTAGTTCTTTTACTGCTTCCTATTTTTCCTGCCAGTCCTCAGTTTTTTCCTTGTGTTCCTTGCCATTACTTTACCTTGCAGCCAGGACTGGCCTTAAGACCTTTTGCTGCTGAAGCGAAAAGGTAAAATATCCCCACCTACTTGAAGCTGTGAAAGTTCAACCATGGTGGCAACACAGGATCCTCCACTGCACCTGACAGGAGCAGTCTAGCAGCAGACGGCTTCCTCAGCGGTCCCTTTGCCCCTTTGTACCCCCTGCCTCAGACAGGTGCCTCACTGTGCCCCAAGGTTAGGCCTGGGCCTGGTCGTCCCACTAGGCCTCCTCATTCACATCTGGGGCTTCTTTCTTTCCTCTTCCAGAAGTTCGCTAGAAGAAGTGCCGGACAAGCCAAAGGTGTCCAATGAGGAAGACATCCCCAAAGGTAAGCAGGTGGAGAAGACTATTTTCATTCATTCTAGTAAACAAAACCTAAAGGCAAAGCAGCAGCCAGGCAGAGAGCCCCCACCCTAATAACTGTTGTTGTTTGTAACTCTTTGCTGTGCTCGTTTTGTTTGGTAGATTGATTGTGGGTTGGGTTTTTTTTGTTTTTGTTTTTGGTCTGGTTTCTTTTCAGGCTACCTGGGTTGTATTTTGGTTGCCTTTTATTCGCAGTTCCCATGCAGTTGGGGAACTCATAGAACCCTGGAGATGCAGCTGTGGCAGTTCAAAGAAAATGCATTCATGGAATATTGTTGCCCGCACCCACAACAGTGGGCAAACCAACAGAGGTGGGCAAAATATACCCTTACAGAAAGACACATACACAGAGTTTCAAATCACAGAAGTGGACTTTTATCCACTTCAATCCCCCCTCATTTTTTTCCTAATCTTTGCAGCCTTCTACTTTGCCCCCCAAAAGAATTGCAGGGACAAAAACATGGCCCCTGCACCTCCAGTAGCTGTCCACACAAAAAAGAGAGATTATGAAGTTAGATGTTGGACACGGAAAATGCATTTTTTAAATTATCAGCAGTCTGTCCTCAAAAACAATGGGCATCTTGTGTAGCTCCATTGTTTGGACTATTAGCCTCTTCTGCGCCCCTCCCCTCCAAAATCTGATCCTCTCTTAGTCTGACATAGAATTCTGGAGTATCTGAAAGCTCTCCTTGTTTGTAACTTTTTAAGGAGAGAATAAAACAATTACTCAAGCCTAGAATTTCATTTTTGTAGATGGGTCAATTTACTTCTTTCTTATTCCTACTTACTGTATAATATAGATGCACCCTTACGTCTTTGGCACCAGGCTTGCTTCCTGTTGGAGAATATGGGAGGGAGTAACTCCCATGCAGTTGGGTACTATTCTGTCTTGAGCCCCCACATCAGATAAACAACCATGAAGCAGTAGGTGAAGGGCTACAAGGGAAGTGGCAGAGTTTTCGCATTCCATACAGAAGGTCCCAAGGAAGGCTAGGAGAGAAGCTTGCATGAAGCCCTGGAGATACCCAGTCAGTCAGTTAGAGCCGACAGCTCTGGGTGAGATGACCCAAAGGTCTGACAAGGGCTCGTAAGGTTCCTGTGCTCCAAGGCACAGTTACATTGCAGCAGCATAGCTGTTTCATGTCAGTTTGACTAGCATGACTTTCTCCCAAAGAATACTGGGAATTGCTGCTCACTCTTAGCTGTGAAAGAGTCTAATCTTCCCTCTCCAGAGATGGATTTCCCTGCAGGAGGGAAGCAACAGCATCTCCCACAGAAACAGCCACACCCCTTGACCTGAGAGGTTCCCTTTTTAAGAGGACATGAACAACAACCACTGGGAGACCAGCCAGACAGATCATTGCCAAGAGCAGCCACCCTGCTGAGCATCTGCCCCATTCCTCCTCCCCCCCCCCCGGGGTACTTCTCTGTCTATGTCTGTTGCTTTGAGGAGGGCACAGTGAACCACCATGAGTTCCTCTGGGTTCTGATCAGACGGTGCAAGTCCTGAAGTAGGTTCTCTGAGAAGAAGAATCAACAAAGGCCTTGGTTTGGGTTTTCTCCAGGTATAGACGAAGCCAACGAGAGCAGTGAGGAGAGTGAGGAGGAGAAGCCGGTGGAGGAGAAGGAGGAAGAGGAGGAGGAGAAGAAGGCTCCAACTCCACAGGACAAGAAGAAGAAGAAAGGCGAAGAAGGTTGGGGTTCTGAAGCCAGAGGTGGTTGGGGAGGGAAAGCATGAGTCAATCGTAGGAAGAACAAAAGCAAGACTCAGTTGGGAGGAAGATATGTGTATGATTTCACAAAAGCAGAGAGTATGGAATTAGGGGCATATATTGACTTTTCTAGAGGCCTGTTTTTGACTTGCAAACAAGTAGATGTAGGTTCCAGTCCTTGTAGATGCAGAAATAGACATTGTCAAAGTGTATAAATAGTGTATGTTTGAAGCAGGGCTCAAGTGCCTCTCAAGCAACTTCTTCTGGTAGCTAATACTATAGAATAAATTATGTTGTTGTTGTGCTTTTTAAAGTCACACCTATGTGTCCAGTTTTCGAGAGGTTGCACAATTCTGCTTTCCTTGGTGAGCAAATTTCCAGGGACACAGCAAGCTAACTAAAAATCCAGAATGGTTCAGAGCTTGAGTGCAAAAAGGCGAAGGACTGGCCTTGGTGCTACCTTGGAGAAGACTTAAGTGACTTATTTCAGGAGTTACACAGCCTTGATGTCACTGTGGGGTACAATTCCTGAGAAGGTCAAGGTGATGAAGCAGTAGCCTAACCACATGGAATCCAGGGGTCTGATGGCCCATGTGACTGGTGGCCATGAAGGCAGCCAAGCCCAGATTGATCTCTTTTTCCCCTTTGTGTTGCAGACAACAGCGATGAGTCGGAGACATCTGAGGACAGTGACATTGACAGTGAAGCATCTTCAGCCCTCTTCATGACGGTAATCCCTGATGCAGCTTTTAGCAGAAGAGGCTGGGGATTGAAAAGTGTTTCAGACCAGTTGTTGTTCCTGGCTCAGGTCTGGTCTCCATGTCTGCAGCTTTCTTTGTAATGGGGGCATCCCTTTTGGAAAGATTTCCTGCATGCAGAAGATGAGCACTCAACACAGATGGGCCAGGGCAGTATTGTTCCTCCCTCTCCTGAAAGCAGTCCCGTCTGCATTGCTACCTCATGATACCCTCTGCTTCATGGGGCAATGAGATCTCCATCTCTAGCTATACTGTGTTAAAAGGATCAACAGCATCAGCATGAGGTAGCAAAGTAATTAAAATTCTAGCTAGCCATCCGTTCCCAAAACTGTTCATAGAACAGGGAGGGTTCATCTCATCCTATCAGGACCCCTCTGTGGAAGTGCTACCAAAAGTTCCCCACTAGACTTGGCTTTCTTGTGGCCATAATCATGCTGTGACTTGCAGAACATGTATTGCAGTGTCAGTTCCTGATGGTTCTGTTTCCAGTACCTCTTTTTTCAACTCTATTCATTACACTTTTATGCTGCCTTCTCTTGGTAAAGGAACTCCAGGCAGCTCTAAGGGCTCGTTATTACCGGTAAAGCATGGGTCCAGGCTATTTGAAGAATTATATTACCACCAACACTCCCATGGAAGGCCTGTAAGCCCAGAAGGATGCTAACAGGAAGCTTCCACTCATGGATCCTCAACAATAGATATGCAAAGTGCATGTCCTCAAAAATGCCCCTGAAAGGGTGTCAGTACCGTGAGAGAAGGCATATTTCTCTGCTGAGAAGAGAGCTGGCAGATGGCTCTTTTTACAAGCAGATTGCTGGTTTGGTTTCTCTAATTCAGATTCTGGAGCCTATAAGGGGAGATGTGAGCGCTACCTAAGCCTCTGTTTTGTCCTCACAGAAGAAAAAGACCCCTCCCAAGAAGGAGCGCAAGGGATCCGCCAGCAGCTCACAAGGGAACAGCCGTCCAGGGACACCCCTGGTGGATGCTGGCAGTACCTCCTCCACCCTGCGGGCAGCAGCCAACAAACTGGAGCAAGGTATGGCAGAGTGAGGATAACATGACAGGGTCATGCCTGGCCCTGGGGTGGCCTTGTGTATACTGGCAAAAATCTGTGGCACTCTTTACGTAGCAAAGCACTTCCTGAGGCCATCGGTATTCAGAGGCAGATACCGGAAATAATGCCAGCTGTAAAAGAATCTAGAGGAGGTGACTGTGTGCCAAAGGCTCCCAGTTTGAGGAGCCTCCTTAGTACAGCTGAGGGGAAAAAAGCTGTGTGAGACCTTATGGAGGCTTAGCCTGGCATAGACAAGCATACCGAGTTTAGATAGTCTGATTCAATTGATCAAGCAATAGAAAGGAACATTTTTTAGCCAATGGATAGGATTCCATTTCAGACACATGGTGTGGAGAGGCACATTTCAGTGGTGTGCTGAGAACTAAAGGCAAAAACTTGGAACCAGGTGTATTTTAGCTTAAAGCTCCTCTTGTCAGTAACCAACCTTAGGAGAGGCATTTTGATCTTCTCGAACAAGGAAAAGTCTTGTACAAAAGTCTGGAATGATTATGTAATGAGGAAATTTTGAGAAGGGGGGCACCGAGAGCTCTGAGGTTCCCCACTCTCAGAGGAGGTCACTTACTCTAATTTGTTTGTGTGGTCCAGTTTTCTTGGTTACTTCTGCCACGGGCAGCACAAAGCAGGCCTGGCTTGGGTGCGAGGGATGTGGTGGGCGCGCTCCTCCGACAGTCCTGAAAATAGCTGGCTTTCCTTTCCTTGGGCCAGGTAAGCGGCAAGCAGGTTCTGGGGAGCTCCCGGCAGCGAAGAGGCTGAAACTGGACGCTGGGCCCCAGCCTGCTCCAACATCTGGGAAATCTACCCCGCAGCCGCAGTCGGGCAAGTCAACGCCCAGCAGTGGGTAAGCAGCAGAACACATAGGGTGCAAGCTGTTTGGCACCGGGGAGGGGGGAGGAGGAGTGTGGGGTCTATCCTGACACTGACTTCCCTCTGTGAAAGCTGGGTGTTGTGTGTGTGTGGATCATAGGTATGGCTATCCTCCTTTGTGGGCCTGTCCCCCACACTTAAGGTGTGCTGCTTTAGCTGCCGCATTCACCGGCCTCCTTTCTCCTTTGCAGTGACGTCCAATTGACGGAGGATGCTGTGCGCCGCTACTTGACCCGCAAGCCCATGACAACCAAGGATCTGTTGAAGAAATTCCAGACCAAGAAAACGGGGCTGAGCAGTGAGCAGACAGTCAACGTGCTGGCCCAGATCCTTAAGCGCCTCAACCCCGAGCGCAAGAACATCAATGACAAGATGCACTTTTTCCTTAAAGAGTGAGGAGGGGCCAGGCTGGGCCAGACTGCCATTGACCTTGGGTCCCCATCATCCTGCCAGGCAGCCCTGAACTCTTGTGTTGGACCAGTTAGCAATGGTAGCTAGAATCAGAGATGGGGTTGGTTGGCATTGGCATCCTTGAAGGAAAGAGGAAGAACCACTGTCCTGCCTTCCGCCAGCTGGGTGCTGTCTTCATATTGGGGCTGGTGGATGTAGGCAAAAGACTGGCATGGCCTATAAAGGGGTATAGAAGATAAGATCTGTCTGAGTGGAGGGTGTTGGTGTTTTTTTCTTTTCCCAGTTTAGTCGGGCAATGCACTAGTGAAATGCTGCCATTTTTGGAAATAAATGGGGACATATTTTTTACGCCTTTCCCTGTGATTACTTTTACACTAGAAGACCTTGACAGGCATCCCACTCTCCACTGTGTGTTTGTTGCTACCTGGTCTGTTCTTCTGTCTGTGCTTCTCTTACTCAAAAGCACAAAGATTTGGCAAAAGCTGGTACACAAATACTTTCCCACATAATGGTTTTTTTGCATGGTCTGAAATATGCTCTGGCCAAGGAGAAAAGGATTCAGCTCAGAACACCCTGCTGTGACTGGTTCCTTCCAGCTGGAGACACACCATTGTTTTCTGTCTGCCAGGAAAAAAAATTGGTCGTATCTCTACTTTTTCAAACTCAAAATTTCAGTCTCTGGAACAGATGGAAATTCTGCAAATTGAATAGATCTGCATATGTATGTACATAGTTTTCACGTACTATAAGTACTCTGTGCTTAGATATTTTCTCTTGCAGAGAATTTGGGAGCAGAACAGAAATTCTGAGTTAGTTGACAGTTTTGGGCAGGAGGGACATACAGTGGTTCCTCGATTTAAGACCATAATCTGTTCCATAAGATGGATTTCACGTACTATAAGTACTCTTATAGTACTTATTTTCTCTTGCAGAAAATTTGGGAGCAGAACAGGAATTCTGAGTTGGTTGAGAGTTTTGGGCAGGAGGGACATACAGTGGTGCCCCGTATAGCGAGGTTAATCCGTTCCGGATTAACCTTCGCTATACGAAAACATCGCTGTGCGGGGCAGGAAAACCTATTGGAACGCATTAAACTTAGTTTAATGAGCCCTGCCCCCCCAAAAAAACAACCCCCAAAGCCCCAAAAATAAAGCACACAGCAGCCCTGTCGGAAGGTGCTGGGGCTTTAAAAACAAAAACAATAAACAGCACAGCAAGCCCCATTTGGAAGGCGCCAAAAATACACACACCAAAAAATAAATATATCACAGCACAGAAACATAACCCACACCCAGCCCAAACCCACCGTGCAAAACCCTGTAAATGTACTTGCTCAGAACCAGAAATCAGCACCAGGCAGTCCCAAGACGCACACACACTAACCGTTGGGGCGAAAGAGCTACAAAGAAGCTCTTCCCCAACCAGCAGTTAGTCCTCTAATTTGAATTCTCAGCCTTTTTTCCCTGCCTCTTTTGATCGCAACTCGCAGCTCCAGCTGCAGGTCGAAGCAAAATTTTGCAGCCGGAGCTGGTCGCAACTTGAAATGATCGTAAGTCAGGATGGTCGTAAGTAAGGGCACCGCTGTAATTTGCTAAATTGCCAGCCAGTCTCACTAAGACTCGTATTTGCAGCACACCTAGCCCAGTAGTGCAGAAGATCGTATGTCGGGATGGTTGTAAGTAAGGGCACCGCTGTAATTTGCTAAATTGCCAGCCAGTCTCACTAAGACTCGTATTTGCAGCACACCTAGCCCAGTAGTGCAGAAGTTTAAATTCTAGCTTTACATATGAGATTGACCTCATTGCAATTAAGATATCTCTGGATAGGTGGTCTAAATGAGCATAAAGGTGTTATATTTTTATTTTATTTTTATTATTTAAAATACTTTTACCTACCTTCCTCCTAAAAAGGGACCCAAGGCAGCTCACATCATTAAAACCAATATTAAAAGCACAATACAGAAAATTATTCAGATATTTAAAAAGAATTAACATTATATTTAAAATGTTAGGTAAAAGCATTACTAAAATTAAATTGGTGCTCAGCTGGGGGAAAATGGTGCCTATGGGGAAAAATTGCAAAGCGATTTTTCCCCATAGGCAAGATCGTAGTGCGATCGCAAAAGCGATGGCAAAAAAGCCATCGCTATGCGATTTCTTCGTTAAACGGGGCGCTCGTTATACGAGGC